AAACTTCTATCTCACGTTGCATCAACCAATAAATACCAATGGTTACCACCCGTTACCTTTCCATGGACTCTCTGGACAGTTTTTTTATCTACAGTACGTTACATGTTATTGTTACAAGCTACCTTGTGATGAAATAATTCACTACTTTAGTCTGTGTGTATGAGAATGTGTCTGTCTTAGTATTTTAATTTTATTAAACATTAATTTTATTAAGTGTCATTTGTTTTAAGAAGTGTCAAGTTGACTTTATTAGGTGGGGTTAAGGGTTAGGGTTAGGATTAGGGGTGTAACGCTATATCGCAGTACGATATTTCGCGATTCTAAAATGTTACGATATGTATCGTAGAGTGTTGCCGATACATTTACGATATGACGGCAGTTTAATCCTATTGGTTGAGCTGCCGACGTGACCTACTCTGCAACAGCGTCGCGTGTGCTTTCATCGCAGTAACAGAAATCACTTGAACATTAGTAGGGCAACATGAGTTCGGCTGAAAGGGAAATTGAAAATGCCCCGTCTTCTTATAAGTCCATCGTCTGGCAGCATTTTGGTTTTCCAGTCACGCGACAGGACGACGGTAAAAAAATTACAGACAAAACAGAAACTGTTTGTAAACACTGTAAAACAAGGCTGCCATACACAGCGTCAAACACTTCGAATATGATGTGCCGTTTAAAACGGCATCACAACAACAAACTCCTGCGACAAAAAGGGTGAATGAAGGCCAAACATCTATACAACAGAGTTTTGCTGCAACATGGTTTCAGTCAAGTGCGAAAGCTCAAGAAATAACCATGTGCATTGCAGTTTTTATTGCAAAAGACATGAGACCATTTTCTGTGGTCAACAATGTTGGATTTCATTAATTGGTTAGGGTACTGGAGCCCAGGTACCATATTCCGTCACGCCGCACTTCAGTCAAGAGGTAGTTCCAGCCCTGTACCGTGAAGCTAAGGCAAAGGTGGTCGACGGTCTGAAAAAAGCAGAGAATGTGGCAATTACAACTGACGGGTGGACTTCGCGGGCTTATCAGAGCTATATTACAATCACGGCACATGTTATTACCACGGAGTGGGAAATTAAAAGTTTCGTGCTTCAGACTCGCCCGCTTTTTGAGTCGCACACTGGGTCTAACATAGCCGAAGTTTTAAAAGCGGCTGTACAAGAGTGGGAGCTTGATAGGGCTCCTTATAGTACTGCAGTTGTTACTGACAAGGCATGCAACATGGAGGTGGCAGTGAGAGAAGCCGGGTTGTCACCGCATATTAAGTGTTTCGCGCACACATTGAATCTTGCGTCGCAAGCAGGCTTAAATGTGCCTCACGTCAGTCGATTGCTTGGTCGCGTAAGAAAAGTCGTGACTTTCTTTCACCGCAGAGCCACAGCCACAATTGTGCTCACGGAAAAGCAAAAGATGCTTGAAATCGCATCACATAAGCTTATCATCGATGTGGCAACGAGATGGAACAGCTCCATGGATATGCTGGAACGCTATCTTGAGCAACAAGCGGCTATAACGGCTTCTCTTTTGAGCACAGAGGTGCGCAAAAATGCCCGTCAACTTGATACTCTGGATAGCAATGACATCACTGATGCAGAAGAAATAGTAAATCTACTTAAACCTCTAAAAAAAAGCCACCACTGTCCTCTCTGATGAAATGAGCGCCACCCTGTCACTCATTATGCCCTTGAAAGCCATGATCGAGCAGAGTATGACACAGGATGAGAAAGACCCTACAATTATAGCCAACATGAAAGCAGCCATCCTGCAGAACCTCTCAGGCAGATACACAGAAGTACAGGATTATCTGCTAGAAAGTACTGCACTGGACCCCAGATTTCGATCGTTGCCCCACCTACTCCCTGAACATCGCGAAGAGGTTTTCCACCGGTTGATGGACATATCAAACCAGTTACAGCAGGTATGTTTGTCTGCATTATTTAAGAATCTGTATACAGTATTTGTATTTGCATGTTTATGTACTTTGTGATATTTGTGTGTGTGTGTAACTGCAACTGTACTAAACCTCCCCAGTCCTTAATAGTTTGTTTTAATATTTTTTTTAAGGCTGGCACTGTGGAGCAAACAGAAAAGAAGGAGGGAGGTGCCAGTGATGAAGATCCCACTGATGCAGCAGAGAAAAGAGAGACAACACAGAGAGCTGAGCAAGAACAGCCACCACCTTGCAAAAAGACAGCACTGGAAGATCTCCTTGGTGCAACTTTTGCTAAACCAACAATCAGTCAGGCCAAACGTAGGATAGAAGTAGAGATTGACATGTACAAAAAGGACACTTCTATTCCCCTCACTAGCTGTCCACTGAAATGGTGGAAAGAAAATGCACCCACTTCTTTCCTCACTTTCCAAGGCTTACCTAACAGTTCCAGCAACGTCTGTTCCTAGTGAACGTGTTTTTTCTACGGCAGGGGATATTGTGAGTGCTCAAAGATCCCAGCTTTTGCCTGCAAATCTAGATATGCTGGTAACCTGTAAGTAACCTAAACAAACACCAGTGTTTATGTTGAACAGAAAACCATTTAATTTATATATTTTTTTTTTTTTTTTTTTTTTACTGCTTTAAGAAGTTCTGTCAGAGGTATCTTTCATTTTAAGTACATGTTAAATTTAACAATTTCTTTCAGTGACAGAAAGACATATTCAGTTGTTATTTTGAATACAGGTTTTTTTAATTAAACATTAAAATGTGTATTGTATGTACAACAAAGTTATTGAAATTTGTTAATGTTTTTGAAATAAATCTGTTATTTGAATTTGTTTCATTTTTAACCCTTCCGCATCCTTTTGACTGTTAAATCACTATGAAAGCATTTACTTTTCCGGCCATTCATTTATTTAGGTTAAAATAACAATGTGTATCGACTAGGAATATATGGTTTCTTATTTAATAAGGTGTAATCCTTCTGGAGCCAGAAGAACTTTGAGCCAAG